GCTTTCGGATATCGACTCGACGAGGGCGACGAAGACGACGAAAACCCGTGGGGTTGGGCACTAATGCGATGATATTGCTGTTGTCGATGTTCATTGCTCTCGCAACACCTCTAGCAAATGCAGCTTTCGTCCAATTCGAGAATTGCCTCCCGCAATCCATCATCCATTCCAATCCCCTCCAGCTCCAGTTCGAGCCAATGTTTGTCTGGGCTGAGTTTAACCTCACTTCAGAGGCCAAAAATCTAAATGTGACGGTGTACGGGAATGTCACTGGGATTGCGACGCAGGAGCCCTATCCACCTCCGAATTCCCCCAGCTGGTCAAATCCAGAGAACACCGTTGGGAAAATAGTTGATGTCGATGCTCAAAATAACATGCTCTCGACCATATTTACTAGATTTGAATTCCTCAGCTATACCCCATATGTCGCCCCTCCAGCACGGTTCTGCGACTCCTTGGTCCAAGGACAGTGTCCGCTGGGACCAGTTTTTTTTTCTAATGGGTATGAATCCCCCATCGATATACTCTATATATATATACATATATATAGCGTCACCTTTGGATAATTGATTAACGTCTGTGATTATAGAACTCCTCCGGAACTACGAGCTTTTTCCGTTTCCCATGATCTCTTTTCCTCTTATGCCTTCACGACGATAACGCCGTTGATTACAGTTACCTCCGGCAATGCAGCCAGGTCATTGGTCGTTTGCGTGTCCGCAGATGTCACCCCGAGCTTAGGATCCTCACTAAACGACACAGTCAGATACTTGCCTCTTGTCATTCTCATTTTGGTCGGCATCGCCACGGTAGCTGCGGCCATGTTCAGTCCATGGGGCTCACTGGATTTCTTTCGATGGACTTCCAATTACGGACGAGATGAGGACTTGCTTAGACTTGTAACCCCCGGATTCGCGGACTGTTTACAGTATATTCAATTTATCGTCTTAACCGGGTCACTTACGTTGAATTATCCGGGATTCTATCAACCTATCGTAAGCCGGATAGGATGGTCTGTTCTCATGTTCAATCAAAGTTTCGTGAGCCATGGAAATGGCACACAACCACTCCAGGATGGAGTGTACGTTGCCAACGCAACTTACGGTTTGGATCGAATGCGCCAGCTTATTGGAATGTCTTCTGTGAAGGATATTTGGGCGGGGATGGTTGTTTGGCTCCTAGCAATTCTTGGGTGTGTTGTGCTTCTCATCCAGCTTGGGTTCGGGCTTCGATGGCTTCACCATCAGGTCACTCACGAGCCGGAGGAAGATCTACGCGCCAAAAACTTCCCATTCACCATGGGCAACGTCATTCGGATCATTTTCAATTTTTTCCTCTTACCCATCGTGTCGTTGTCTATGTTTCAGCTCGTCGTTACTCGTAATTCTCCTATATCTACGGTTGCTTTGGCCGTAGTGCTTCTCGTTTGTCTGGTCGGATTTGCTGCTTGGTTATTACTGCTGATCACCCAAACTCGTCCGAGGTCATATATGTTTGATGACCTTCCGACGGTTCTTCTTTACGGCCCGTTGTATAATACGTTCTCCGATAGTGCCGCCGCCTTCTCCGTGGTCTCTGTCCTTCTCACATTCGTGCGCGGAATCGCAATCGGAGCTGTTCAACCTTCAGGAATTGCACAGATCGTACTCCTTGCCATTTGTGAAGTTGTCCTTATCATAACCTTATCAGCATTCCGTCCTTTCGCACGGCCAACATCTATGACATTATACCATACCATTTTTGCCGTCGTTCGCTGCATTACAATGCTTTTGAGTGCTTCCTTCGTTCCGTCCCTGAAGGTTGGTCACGCAGCACGAGGTTGGATCGGATATGCCATCCTTCTGATGCATGGGATGGTGTTAACTTTTGGATTCTTTCTGAATGCTATTCAAACCCTGGTAGAGGTGCTTGCTCGGCTTGCTGGTGCTGGCGGTGAGGGTGGGGTTGAAGGAGGTGCGGCAAGGGGTGGGCTGGTGAAGGTATGTATTTGTTCTAATAAAATATTATCGCCCGTTGTGTAAGACAACCCATCTGTGGTTGTAGCTTCTGGTTTATACACTCGATCGTTGACACCTCCTTTTCTAGGTCTTTGGTATGCGTCAACTCTCTCGAAGAGTCCCGCAACGGCCTCATCATGTTCCTCGTCACAGCATCAACTCAGAAGCAGCGATGCTAGGACCAGATCGAGAAAGACTCTCATCTCATTTAGATGGCGATAGAACTCGAAGCTTTTCTACGAGTTCAGCACTGTTATTGAACCGGTCTGTGGCGACTGAGAATCGGATGAGCGCCGGTTTTGAGGCCAGCAGCATTCATGGAGTAGGCCATAGCCGGGGAAGTGGGAGTGGACCATACACGCCTTCGACTCCAGGAGGTATCTCACCTATGGTGCTTCCTGGCCAACAGTCGGGAGACGGTGGATCACCGCGAAGCGGGATGGTGGGTATGAAGAACGATGCTGGCCCGTACTATCGTCCTCCGAGGCAACGACGGGCTACACTGGATGGGATGTTACCTAGCAGCCGCAAACATAATTCCTGGACAAGTGGTGACTGGACCAGAAGACAATCGGGCATCAATGCCGACGGTGAAGATGCTGATGTTTATTATGGTCCCCCTATAGCCGGAAACAGCACTCCGGTCCCAGCTTACCTTGGAGCTCCTAGAGATGATTCGGATGCTGACATGGACGAGCCTGGTCGCCCAAGGACGGATTATGCTGTCCGAGAAGTCGACTTTTATTATCGCGTCCGAGGCCCTGCTCTGTCCCGTGCCGCAACTCGAAAACTGAAAACCGGTCCAGCCGATCCTACTGGCCCGGTATCTTCCGCGACTGGCTGGTTCCGTGGACTTTTCCGTGGTAAGACAAGGGATAAAGGCAAAGGCTTCGAGGTAGTTCGCAGCACGAGAGCCCCACCACCAGGATTGATGCCACATCCGGAGCAAGCGCAACCCTTCCCAGAACCATATCACGACAAACCTGATGCCACAAAAAATCCCGAGTTGGATGTAACACAGCAGACTCGTAGTAAATCGGATACCTACGAGACTCCTGATGAAACGCCCAGATATGAATCGAAAATACAAACGGAAGTAACACCCCCCTCATTACCTGCCATCGAGGCGAGTGGAGATATCGAGCTTCCGCGTCGCACAGGCTCAAAAAGCGAAACCTATGGACAACAAAACCTTGCGATTCTCCCTCCCGCCATCCCCCGTAAAAGCTCCAAACGACACTCCTCAGCCGACTCAGCAGACCGTACACTTGAAATAGGAATGCCACCCCCGACCTCCTCCGATGGCAACCAGGAGACATCGATGGACAACAATTCAAGTACCCAAGGCCCTCAGCCCCAATCACAAGCAACCACTCAACCCACACGGCTCCCTTTTGGCTCAAAATCCCCCTCAGTGCGAAGTGAGTTCGTCTCCACCAGATCAACAAGCTCCAGCATCCAGAACACAACAGACGACGAGAACAACAGCGGTAGTAGATCTGATAATAGACGACAGGTTTCGTCACCGTACATGGTATCTAACCGTCGTCAGGGACGGCCGTCGAGCGTGGGGTTTGTCCCAATGCACCGCGCCAGCGATCACATACATGTTAGCGACAGCACGCCGTTTTCTGGAAGTTCGGCGGAGATAGTTGGGGAGCCTTCTTCTTCTCCTTCTATGTAAACTTATACATCAAAGAAGAAAGGAAAACCGAATCACCACGTTAAATAGACGAAGAATATTATGGGAATTATCTTCAAGACTGTAGGTCAAAAGGACTCTTGGAATCTTAGTGCATGTTTCCCGTACCCCCCTTTTCTTTCTTTCTCACTCTCTATGTTTCGCGAGTGTTTGTTTATCATTGTGCCTAATCTCTGCACACTATAGTAACTACTGACGAATTTCCTTGTCCTTATTTTCTTCATTTGCCATACTTTCATTCATTTCCCTTTTGTGTTTCTCAGAATGGCGTATTTGGAGGATAGGATTTCTTTATGAGTCCACATGTTTAAATTTGGGACGGACGGGCGCGGGGCTTGTACTTTTCTTCTTTTTAACAGGTATTTTTCCTTATAGTTGTATTAGCATGCTATGCAGTCTTACTCTTATTCCTTCTCTTCTTTCTTTCTTTCTTCTTTCTTTTTGCTTGCTAGTCCTTTTTAACCTCATTGTTCTTGGTCGGCAAAATGCATGCTGTTGTAATTATGATAGATAAGGGAAAGAATATTGAATCTGTTTTTGTTCACTTCTTGTTCTTTTAGTGGTAAATTTCCTGATTTCCTCCACTCATATGCCGATATATTCTAGGTGACATTGATTCTAAGGCGGAGTACCTGATACCTGTACAGACTTGAAATCTTATCACTTTGGGCTCCTTCTGATTTGTTTCGCACCAGAAGCTTTAGTAGGACATCTATCTTCGTAGCCGTAACAAGGAAATGGCTATTGTTATCCACTCCGTTCATAGTCATCATAGTCCACTGATAAACTTTTATATTGGGCCTCTCCCGAGGTCCCATACAAACTTCCCGGTTTGGTTTAGCGCAGTTCCAGCCTATCAATCAACCTCCAACCCTCAACCACATTCGTTAAACATCGCCAACCTCATACCTAGAGCCACCTATAGGTGTACTTCCGACCTCTCTGTGTATATATCTCTCTTTTGCAGCTGGGCCCGGGAAGTCATATATCATAATCTCTTGGTCCATAGTTGTCTTGCAGCTCTAGATTCTCGGTGACAACGGGTTCCCGCGTGGCAAAACCCAAGCAACTAGTTAACCCTTAACTAACCGACATCGAATCCCCCAATTCCAGTCAGTTGACTTTTCCCCTCCTGCATGCCTGAGACACCTTGTTTGAGAAAGGCTGAGAAGGATTGGATCTCCACTCGACACAGAACTGACTACCTTTGCCCTTGAGTTTTCTATTTTCATTCTCGCCTCGCCTGGCACGATTATTCAATGCCAGATTTACGCGGTAGTAAGGCTAACAGTTCAGTTTCCTTAATTGCGCATTTCAGCGTGTGACTGGAGAACCTTCTGACCCTCGCGGGGCGGACACATACGAGAGCGCGAATCCAGCGCCACAACGTCCTCGGGTTCTGCCCGCCTTGGTGCTGGCAGGAACTCGGGAACGAGGTCAATAACCGCCAAAAGGGACGACTCATCCGCACCGAGACATATCATCCGTAAATTAACGTCATCACCAGCATCGCCTTTTGAACATTCCGCTGTTTCTCCCTTATATAGCGCCTTTAAAATTGTTTTCAGATCCGTGCCAACCTGGAATATCATCGATATATAGCTAATGACGTTGAATTGTCGTCCAAGCGACGGAGATTGCTCTCATCTCCTCCCTCAGGTAGAAGACAAACGTCATTTCTAAAGTTCTTCCGCTGCGACCCAGACCGGCGTTGCTGCGCTCGATGTCATCCCCAGCATCCGGCTCCGCGTCACCGTTGCCATCCTCTTCCACATCGAACCCCGCTTCCTTTGGTGTTCCCCTCATCCCATGCACATCCAATGAGGGCCCCCGTTCCAATACTGCAACCACCCCCATCCCATACGCCTCCGCCTCCGCCTCCTCTTCTTTCTCCTCCCGCAACTCGCTTCGAAGGGTCAGAACGACACCGGCTGTGTTGGGAGATTCTCAGGGTTTATCGCCAAGTGCCACTTCTGGACATACTCTGTTAGAATTTTTGCAAAACGAAGGCCCCGAGAATGTTGATAGTAGACAAGGCCAGGAGGCGGGAGATGCACGGAATATCAGTGCTATGAACTTGGAGAGAAAGAGAAGGCTGACAAGCACTAGCGACGGCACGGGGCAAATTTACCCTAACGGTCCTGCACCTTCGGTTGATTCTGGCTCGTCGAGACCACGTCCGGGACCTTCTGTGACGCCTTCATGGAGACGCAGTAGTCTAGGGATTCCGGGGAACTCGAGTGGGAATGCGATCGACCTGTCAGCGTCTCCGGAGTCGGTGACGCGACAACTCAACTCGTTGCGGCATCGAGAGAACAGCTTCACGGATTATGATCTACCACGTTGGCAGCCTGATTCTGAAGTTTCCAAATGTCCCATTTGCAATACCCCTTTTAGTTTTTGGTATAGGAAACACCACTGCAGGAAATGCGGCCGTGTCGTTTGCGCTTCTTGTTCACCGCACAGAATCACCATCCCGCGTCAGTTTATTGTTCGCCCTCCAGAATCAGGTAGACAACTCTCAACACTGCTCCAGCCAAACCCTTCTCAGATTCAGATTATTAGTCTCCTTGATAATGTTGAGGAAGACACCTCTGCTACTTCTGGTGTGCATCTCAGTTCTCGTGGACAACTAATACAACAAAGAGATCGCTACCGGCCGAATTCAGCTTTGGGTGGTGGAGAAGAGGTTCGTTTGTGTAATCCTTGCGTTCCTGATCCCAACCCGGAGCCTCCCAGGCGATACTCCAGCACTTCTGGCTCATTGTTGTCCGGTTCTGGACGACTTTCGTCCTCTCTTTCGACGTGGACAGATGATCTTGCTGGGGTTTCCCATGCACCAACCAACCGCCATTCCGCATTTCCTGATTACTATAGGCATGGCGTTGGACACCGACGCGATACCAACCATTTTCATCGTCCATCTGCTTCCCACTCTGCAGCTGCAACTATGCCGCGGTCTCAAGAAGCGCGCGATCTCCGACGACAACGGGGTCGTGGCATGATAGTTAGTTTTGTCTCATGCTCGGCTTTTTTTCTATTCCTTTTGAACAACATGGTATAAATATGAGAACATATGTTGACTCTTGAACTCTAGTTTCAACCTGAAACTCCCGAGATTCAGCGAGCGGCCGCCCAGGAAGCGGTGACCGATGAAGGCTTGCCATCATACGGCAGCTTTGATTACACAGTTGTTCCAAATTTTCGCGGCATACCACCAAGATACCAGTCAACGCAGCAGGTCGCTGGCGGCCAGTATCCGCGTTACTCACCCCCGGCATATTCGTTGCCTTCAAGCACGTCACTTTCAGTAGGAATTCCCCTTAACCCGCCGTTTCTTGGTTACAGATCATCCAAGGGATTATTTACCTCCCTCATCGAGATATACGATTCACATACATGTACTTGAACTAACGTAGTGAAAATAACCAGAACTCCCGCCACCACTCCATCCACACCTTCCCGCATCACATGCCCTTACACCGCCGCGGGCCAGCCTCACCCTCGAGCCGGAACCGCCTAGTATCGCCCGCATCCACCTCCACCTCCACTCACCACCGCCCCCCGATCGATGAACGCGACATTTGCCCCATATGCAGCCACATCCTCCCCGCACGAGCCGCAGATGGCAGTGAAGAAGCACGCGAAGCCCATGTCCGCGCCTGCATAGAAGGCCACGGACGACCCATCATCGACATTACTTCCCCTCGCAGCTCTGGTCATAGCACCTCACAACACTCTTCATCAAATCACGGCAGCAGTTATACTAACGACCATGGCGATCACCACGCAGATCGTCCGCTGCGGATGCTGCCGTTTACGGCGACGGAGAAGGATTGTGTAGGAGAAGATAGCGGGCCGCAGGAATGCACGATTTGCATGGAGGAGTATGAAGTTGGGGATCCGCTGGTGAGGTTGGAGTGTTTGTGCAAGTTTCATAAGAGGTGTATTGTGGGATGGTTTGAGAAGAAGATGGAGTGTCCCGTCCATAAGGTGAATTAGACGGGGGGTAGCTATACCTTGGTTTTCTATTCCTTTCTTTGATGTTCTTTAGGGTGGGCATTACTACATTGCTTGACCATGCATTGGCTATGTTTATGTTTTGATGCTCGTTTCTGTGCATGTGAGTGGGCGTTTGGAGTTTTTTTTATTTTATTTATTATTTATTATTTATTTATTTATGTCACTTCCCTGCTATGCCAGCATTAACCATTGGAGCTTTTCGGGCCCTAACTATTGGAAGAGGGGCAACGCTTTTGGATATTATGGATATACTTTCCCTTTGTATCTGGTGTATTCAGGTCAGCTTGCAATCATTTGAAACTGTTCTAAATATTGATGGACATCTGTCATCTCTTCTGTGTGAAACCATTATCGTCGCATACAGAGCATTCACTTTCATAGATATCTGTCTGATAAATAATTGGCAAAGCAGCGTAAGTAAATAAATACATGGATAAAAAATAAAATAAAATATTTATTGCTTATTCCAAGCAGTTATTCCAGGCTCCCATATTCTATCTGCAATTATTGGCTTACTTACCCACAACCAGATTGAATACGAAAAACGAGCTGCATTCTCCCAAGTCCCATTCTCGTTGACTCAGCCCTGGTAGTTCAATAGTTAGACGAGCGTTGGTTATTTCCGAGCATAATAACGTCGACCGTCATCCTCACCTCACAGCAAACTCCTCGTCCTCCTCAACTCCCGGTCTCTGTACTCTGTGTCTCTCTCTGTCGTATCTCTCCCGGTGCTGTACTCGACACTATCGGTCATCGAATCGACATGTCCTGTGCCTGACAGGGCCAAACAAGCCCGCTCTGTCCGAAATTTCTGCACTGGCTGCCTCAGGCATAATATGTCTGGCGCACACTATTAGGCCTGCCTGCCTGGCTACTGTTAATGTATGTATGTATTTTACCACAGAACTGTAGCTTGGGAGAAAGATGAAATTGAAGAAAAAGACTATTAACAGTTTATCTTGCTGACTCGCGATGGTAATAGAAGACTTGGGAAGAGCAGTGCTCGCAACAGCACAATCAAAAGGCGTTACACCGCAGCTATTTGACGTCTGGAAAGTCTCGTCTCTTATCTGAGGGGTCTTGAAACGGGCTATATAATAATTTCTTTTTAACTAGTTAACTAGTTATTAACTACATTATCATTACAATTAAGTTGCCTGAAGACGCGCCGAAGAGTGGCACCATCCACGTAAACATCTGATTTCCATGGATGCCGATCGGCGAGCTCCCTTCCGTACTTCCGCCCCTTCGCAGCACTCATCATCCACCCCGTCCTCCGAACATAGCATTCCGCATACCCACACCTACAATTATGATAGCACAAAACCGCAGTCTCCGTACTCGGCAACTCTTGGTCCCAGTACACACGATGATGATGACGATAATTATGACGGCGCCCACGGCACCAAGGCCGGGACCCGGACCACCAATACTGCCGCGTCTGCCGACGACGTGAGCAACATTACCAATACTAACTCAATTAATAATAATAATAATAATAATAATAATAATAATGGTGCTCATACTGTCAATGGTAATATCAACAATGATCCTTTCCTCGACCTGAAACGCCCGCGTGCCTGCGAGGCCTGTCGCCAGCTTAAGGTGCGCTGTGATCCTCACACAGAGGATCCAGATGGACCATGCAAACGTTGTGCAAAGGCCAATCGACGCTGCGTCGTTACGGTGCGGACTCGCAAGAGACAGAAAAAGGCGGATAGTCGCGTTGCTGAATTGGAGAGGAAGATTGATGCATTGACTGCGAGTTTGCAGGCGTCTAAAACTAGAAATGATGGTGATATTAGAGGTGTTGTTGGTGATGGGTTGGAGAGTCCCCAAGTACCGGGAGCAGAGGGGCTGACTACTTCGCGTTGGTTGACGTTGCGTCCTGATAGTGAAGGTCGGCGTAGCACCGTTGGAAGGGAATTGGGTCACACGCCAGGTCTAGTTGGGAATAAGAGATACTCCAGCGGGAATTTTAAGCCTACGCAAGAAACCTCTGCGATACTAGCGCCATTGGCTGCGAGATCGCATAGCCCAATGACGGAGGGTTTATCGACACTCCATGATGGCACCGCGACGGTCCCTAGTGATCATGGCGATGGGAATGCACCTGATCCCTGGCCTCCGTTATTACCTCTGATCGACAGGGCACCCAAAGTTCGCTACGACCATGAATACACTGATGTCATTGATCGTGGAATCGTGGATCAGGCATGTGCCCTTAAGTCCTTCAACCGCTATGTGAACAATATCTCCCCACTGTTCCCATGCGTCGTCTTCCCTCCTGAAACTACCATGGCGGAAGTGCGTCGGACTAAACCGGTGCTCTTCCTAGCTATCCTATCCATATCCATTGGTGTCTTCCGGCCAGAGGTCCAGGTCCCTCTATTGAACGAGGTTTACCGCGTATATGCAGACCAGGTGGTTGTCAAAGGGTCAAAATCCCTCGAGCTAGTCCAGGCCCTCGTGATTTCTGCGATTTGGTATATCCCTCCGGATCACTATGAGGAGATGAAGTTTTTCCAGCTCATCCATATTGCGGTGGCGATGGGAATGGATCTTGGGATGAATAGGAGGACGAAGTCGAAGTCGAAGTCAATGGGCATGTGGAGGGACATAGTGGGCAAGAAGGCTGTCATGCTGGATCCTGATGCGCCGGAAACGAGGCGAGCCTGGCTCGGGTGCTATTTTATGAGTGTTAAGTATGGAGTCCAACTACCTTCTCTTCTATTTCTCGCGATTTTAATTCGACCTGCGGAGTATATCACGCTTTGCATCAGAATCGTCGTATACTTAATTTGAAAGTGGATGGTAGTTGCTGACGCACTGGAATAGTGTCTCAATGTCACTTAGACGACCACTTCTCACTCGCTGGCACCCATACATGGACCAATGTCTCGAAATCCTCGGGACGTCACCCGATGCGTTTCCCTCTGATAAAGCTCTCATTCATTGGGCAAAACTGGCGCACATTGGTGAAGAGATTCTCTTCCAGTTTTCCATGGATGATCCTGTTACAAATGTGGATATCACAGATCCCAAAATCCAATATGCTTTGAAAGGATTTGAACGACGTTTAGAAAAATGGCGAAAAGGGGTGCCGTCTGAGTGTTATTCTCGTAAGCTGTTTTCGTTATTGCGTTGAGTTCTTATTATCAAATATAATGTATACAGAAATTTATTACCCTAGCTCTTGCTATGTTGTTTCTGACATCAATGATCAGCTGTGATGCACCACTACGAACTCATAATCAACCTGTACATGCATGAAATCGGCATGCACGCGGACCACAATATCGACGACTTCAAACCACCCTTCGCAAACAGCCTTGACTCCCAAACTTCCGTTGACCTAGGCACACCAGCCCATGTCGCTGCTCTGACCGTCTGCCTCACTTCCATCCACGAAGCCTTTGAGACCATTTTCTCCATTGATAATCCCATGCTTCAGTGCCTCCCCACTATTCATTTCGTTCGTACAGCATATGCCTCCGTCGCTCTCATTAAACTATACACCGCCGCATCGCACCCTTCCACCCGACTGGGACAGGTATTCAATCCCACCCACTTCAAGATCGAGCATCTCCTCGACAAGCTCATTCAACATTTAAAAGGCTCTGGGGACCATGAACGTGGACGAGTATCTGCGAGATTCTCCCTTATGCTAGGGATGCTGAAAGTTTGGTTTGTGAAGAGGGGTGAGGGAAAGCAGATGACCATTGGTAGCGGTCACTGCTTTTTTCAACCGAGGGATCTTCGAGCGTATACGGCCCCTGACCGTGGGAGATCAGAGCCAGAGAGTGAGTATCAGAAGAAGGTTAGTGCTGAGGTTCTGTTTACATTTTGATTCCCCCTCAGAGTCCTCTTTCCTTTCTTGTATTTAGAATGAAAAAAACAATCCGGTCTCTTCGACAAGCTTTCGCTAACTTATATCTACGCCACATATAGCCCCCTCATAGTGCAGAATCGACACATTTATACCTCCTAAGCCAGGCAGACGTGGGTCGTCCAGAGATTAAAACTCGATCTGAAAACAACCCAAATCATGATCAAAATGTACACTCCCCGCAGGAATCTCGACTGTCACCCCTTACCCAACCCAGCGTTTCTCCTCAAAGTGCCCATATTGATACTAGGGACGCCCGTGCACTCCCCATTCAGCCAACCACAGCTGCCACCGTCAGCACCACCTCCAACACGGTCCCAAACCAACCCAGGCCTACCTACGGTCTATCAATGGGCATGGGCGCTTTCCCCAGTGCCTCAAATCCACCACTCACATCCCAGTATCTACCCCAAATTCAGGACCGAAATCACGGTTTCAACCCCCTAGATTCAGGAGGGCTTAGTGGCCTGCAGCAAGCCTTCTTGCTAGACCAGGATCAGCAGATGGCGTTCCAGCCAGATGAATTTGCAGTGTTGGGAGCTATGTGGGATGATATATTTTTTGGCTTCCCTCTTGATGAGACTGCAACGCCGTTCTAATCAAACACCAAATACGAAAAGCAATTAAAAATTGAGGATAGTTTATATGTACAGCATTTGTTTCCATATCACTCTACTTAATCTCTCCGAATCTCTCCCCTCTCTCATCTCTTATCATTTTGCCGGTTTTTAAAAACTTCACAAATTTAGCATCTGTCCTTCGACGACTTCGCTGGTTGGTTGATGACGAATGAATAATGATCAGCAAAACAAAACATTTGGGCGAAATAAAAAAAAAAAAGAAAAGAAAAGAAAAGAAAGGAAAGGAAAGGAAAGGAAAATTGTCTCCACTCTTCCTTACTTATCACTGATCCTGTTCTTGGATTTCTATTTTTGCGCCTCATTCTGCATTCAATACTGTACAAAATAGTTATGATGAGCCCACACCTTGCAAATTTTACAACCATATCAAGACTGTCCTACTGCTCTTGGATGTATATAAATACTACATTTTGCATATTCTAGTTGTCTTGAAAATTTTTCATATCAAATTGAAGGCTCCTTGGACAAAGTTATGACAGGGCTTGGGTGGGTCATGGAGAGCTCAAAGCAGAACGATCAACAGTCTCCACCGCACTAAGCAATGATTTATCGCGCTGTTCTCATGCACCATAATTAATGCTTCTAGACAACAAAGCTTGGCTACGTTAACTTCGACACTTCGGGCCGACTTACACCATCAACCACAATGCCATGTGCAGGTATGACACCCGTACACATACATACATTACAGATACGTTCACGTTGTTCAACCGATTGCATTCCCGAAATTCACGACGAAGGGGTCCGAATTGTAGGCATATTTGGTATTCATATGAGATGCAATAGTGATGCACTTCGGTTTTGGATCTAATGCACATGAGCGACGATTCTGGCTATTGAGACGATGTTTTCGGGCCAGGAGTTGATATTGGATTTCTTAGTGCTTACTAGTCTTTTCGACAAGATAAAAAGTGTTGAAAAACAGATACGCATTCCCGGTTTTCCTGCCCACCCTGCGATATTCATTATGTGACAGCCCATTGTGCGCTATTTTAAAACAGGGCCTTAATTCCATACCGCCATCATCTGGGGAGAGCTAAATGACAAGGAATTGAATTGACTTACCCTTTCTGTACATTGCTTCCATAGGACTTGCTTCTGTTATTTTGGTCCTTGAGGTTCATTTTGATAGGATTTCCGTTGAAAATACCAATCGGAGGCTTCCCAGTTGAAAATTAAGGCTGCGGCAATGCATGCGTTTTATTTCTATGAATTCCCCAATTCAGCAACTCATTGCAGCTTTAAGATGCAGGGTGTTCATCTGCTCCAGTTGGCGGTTAATTTCTACTGTATTAATTAGTATTCTATTTATCTTTGACACAAACCCACCGCCCGAACGAACTGCGAGAAACGCAAACAAAGCAGGTTGTGGCAGTTACACGATTCGCCGTCAAATTCCAGCTTCGCGACACGCAAGATCTCTGATATAAAGTTTCCTGACCCCCCCTGGAGCGTACATTGTACCTCAGAGAAAAGGCATATTCTCATATTCTCTACACGCATTCATTACTGGTGTTTATGGATCCCGTCGATGTCTGAACCAAACATGCCTGACAGAAATTCAATCCACACAACCTCTATATGGGGTATTATCAAAACCTCCCTCTCTCACGCTACCAACAGTACTCCTACAAAAGGAACAGAGGATGCTAAGTTCATCAAACAAACCAATACCACGGCCTCTCACGAGCCAGAGAAACTCGCAACCATTCGCTCGAAGGGTATATACCATGGCATTCCAGTCATCCCGGAGTCTAACTCATGCAAGGGGCTCTCAGTCATTGTCACAGGTGCCAACGGCATATCGGGTAACCACATGGTTCGTGTCCTGGCTGAGTCTCCCCAGCGTTGGGCAAACATATATACCATGTCGCGCCACGCGCCCGCCGTGGATTGGAAGTATGCGAATGTCAAGCATCTCGAATTGGACTTCTTGAAGAGCTTGCCAGAAGAACTGGCTGAGATGATGAAGCAGAGAGGGATTGAGGCGTGAGTTTGTGCCGTTCTTTTCGATAATTTTAATTTTTCTTTTCGACTCTAAGAGGATCGGCGAAGGAAATGGGTATTCGTTAAATTGATCGCTGGCTAACAATGTTGTTATTTCGAGCGTGTCAGCGACTATGTCTTCTATTATTCGTATATCCAGGTTCCACCAAAAACAGGCGGTTCAATATGGTCAGATGCCCAAGAGTTGTGTGATGTGAACGGTAAGAAATGATTGCTCTGAAATATACCTCTCCTGCTTTTGACTTCTTTCCGAACAGTGACCAAACTAAAACTGAAACCTATATGTATCAGGCGCAATGCTATCCAACTTCCTTAAAGCTCTCAAACTTGCCTCGATCACGCCAAAACGCTTTATGCTCCAGACAGGTGCAAAAACCTACGGCTGCCACCTGGGCACTCCGAAATGCCCTCTGGTCGAATCAGACCCACGCGTCAAACTCGAACCAAACTTCTACTATGACCAAGAGGATCTCCTTTTCCAGTACTGCCGGGAGACAGGTGCAAAATGGAATATTGTCCGCCCTTCTTTCATCCTCGGAGCTGCCAAGGATGCTGCTATGAACTTAGCATACTGTCTTGGTGTCTTTGCAGCTGTTCACGCACATTTAGGCAAACCGCTGGTATTCCCTGGAAACGTAGCTTCGTTCGACGTTATCAGAGATTTGTCCTCAGCTACATTGAACAGCTATCTCGCGGAATGGGCTGTGCTGAATCCAGATGCACCCAACGAGGCGTTTAATGCATGCGATTGCAGCGCACTTACTCCCGGTGCTCTTTGGGCCAGCCTTGCGAAGCTTTATGGAGTTGAATATAAAGTCCCCGATCCGAAGGCCGAGTATCAAAGTTTCACGATGCCGTTCGACCCTCCTCGTGGGTAAGTTGTTCTGCTTCTCCTGTTGTGCTCCACAGATGTCTCGGCGTAACTTGTGTATGAGGCACAGAAAAGGAAGAAACCAAAAAAAAACCTAATAAATGCTGTCACTCAATTCCAGATTTGGACCTCCCGAAAAGATCGAATTCGCGTACAGCATGGCAGCATGGGCGTACGACCCACTCGTGCACAAGGCATGGCAAGAGCTCTTACAAAAACACGGCCTCATCCAGGATCCATTTGCCATCCCCGCTGAACGAAATCGGATATTCGGTCTTGCTGACACAGCAATTTTGGGAGGAATGCCAGTGCAGTTTAGGTGAGATTTTTTTTCGCTTGAAAAGACTCAGCGTGGAGCCGTCTTATACATCTCCCGTCTCTCCGGGTGTGTTAACCAAAATTCGCCATGTATATACTGACACGCCTTCCACGCAGCATGGACAAGGCTCGCAAGTTTGGCTGGCACGGTACCGTTGATAGTTTAGCGTCCTTGCGAAATGTCCTGGAGGAGCTTGTTGAGATGAAAATGTTGCCACCATTGCCCAAGGCTGAAGGTGTAATCAACCATACCCCTTGACACTTTCATATGGTTCTGCTGCTTTCAACCATTTTAACTTTTTCTATTGTTTCCCTCATCAGGCGTTGGCGTGTACATGACTCCCTTTCAGTAATAGGGAAGACAGATGGAAACACAAGGCTGATTTGGGTTTGCTCGATGGAAACGTGTTCAACATGAATTCTGGTATACAGACACATTGGCGAATCCTGGTACGGAATAAATGACTTGCAAAACACGCGACCTCATTAGCTAAAGATTGCGGAGTAGTTATTCGTTCCAGGAATTCGTGTGACATGGCGTTGATGGGAGATCAGCTTGTGTGAATGACATGAAATGATAGCCATGCATAGCTATGAAGCTAAGATATGTCTTGTCTCCATTGTCTCTCAACTTCTAGGGTAAAGTTCTGAAATAAATGCAGGAGACTAATTCCTGAAAACACCACTATTAATTAGGTTTAGGTTTTGGACCACAGTACAAACATAAACAATATAAATCTGCCCAGAAAATTACTTTACATTATTAGATTAACTTTAGAATAAAATCAGATCCTGAGCTCAGGCTTCAAGTTTATCTGTCATTAGCAAGTTATTAATATAGAATAAAATTCACTGCAGAGAAATAATAGTATATAAAAATACAATGAAAAGCATTACATTCCTAACTCACGGCCACAATTTCAAAAACAAGAAAGGAAGAAAAAGCGGTGAAACTAAATTGACATGGGAGGGTGCTGTGTTGTGGTCAAGGTACAGATTTGACAGTGTGAGAGAGCGCAAGTATTATGGCGTGGAGGAATCAAGGTAAGGGAATACGAGGAACCAAGGAGACAATTAGAATACATCATGACAAACTAAATAAGGAGACAAGAAAGGTAGTAAGGAAATAAGAAAGCCATCATGAGGCATACAACAGGTTTGGCGAACTATCATAGAGTGATTTTCGTAGTTCAGGTATTTTTGCCTATAACGAATGATCGAGGCTCTGAACTGAACAGGGTGTGTTATCACCGTATGATTCTTGGGAATTCGCGACAAATTGGAAACTAAGGTGTGGGTCGGTTCGGGGGGCTTTCATGCCACGGAAGATTAGGTGCTGCAACGCAGAGGTGCAGGGTGGTTGGGCATTAGGATTTTGGCTTCGTCGGCTAAATAAGAGGTGAGAGGTATGATGAAATTATCCGCGACCCAATCTGCTGGAATTATTGTATAGTTATCATTATTACATGAGATCTCTCCCAGTCCTGGATGGCGATTGATCAGTCATCTATTCGTCTTCGACTTGAGCATTAAGATCCCTCCAGAATCTGGGTGGTTTATCGGGTGTTGTTGTATTCATCCTCCACTCGAGTATTGGGATCCCTCGTGGAACCGCGTGGATAAATATTGTAGTATATGGACGATTGGGCGTTGTCGTCTTCCCTATTTGTTTGAGGGTGTTAAGTATGGGGTACTAATCCACTGGATGGATACCCATATGGCGGTTTATCCTTTTCAGCTGAGTCTGAATTGTCCGTAGATATACCATAAGGACATGTTGCCTGGACTGAGTATTGGAAGATTTACGCTGGAAGGACAGGCTGTTATCTGATTTGAAGTTCGAGTTGCTAGGCCTGGTAGTAGAGTACATCGACCCTGTCAGGGCCTGCCTGGAGGTCGGAACGCCAGAAGATGAATTTCGATGGCCCCGTAAGGAGCCGTGATTTACGTGATCAGCTTCTCTAGACATGATAACGGGTGACTTATTGAAACTGGTATCGAAGTGAAATCTGATAGAAAAATGGAGTTTACATCTTAAACGATGTCGGGGTTTATAATTGGTCCAGTATATCATATGATATCCGGCTGATTGACTTGAAATCTAAAAAGTATATCCTGAAAGAGGGCAATCATGCCCCTTGTATCTTCGGACGTTATCCCTCCTCCATCATGGAAGGGCAATTGCCTGTTCCAGGGTCCCAGTTTCACATATTACCATGGCGTCTAAATTCTGCTTCTCAAAAGAGCCCCACAAATAGCAAGGCGATCGTCTTAGCCTCATATCAAAATAGAAGGCCTCGAAACGCACTCGACGGCAGGAGTCGACATGATGGAAAGGAAGATTGAAATTGAAAAACTCTGACAGCGATTGATGAAACCGAAGGTGAACATGCGAGTTCATTGATGCTTTTGCTGGGCAAGCAAAAACCAGCAGACGTGGGTGGTTTCGTGATAAGTATTTCAACGGCAACTTTATGGCTGACTGCGTTGTTAAAACCAATTCGGCATGCTACAATTCAGCAGCGGAGTGGGATCCACTAGTAGTAATGAACACATTTTTAACAAAAATCAATGAATAAGATGGATAGTAATTTAGATTGCCAGGGAAGATAGCTGATACAACTGCATTAAAAACAGGAGGAGGAATGCAGTTCGGTTGTTCCTATTAGTGGTGGGCGGGCAAGCACCCGCACCCATAGTTAACTATTAGAAAATCATTTTTGGCTGCTACAACCCTCCGAGAACTGTTCGCGAAGAAATGCTCTGGACAAGGATGATTGACGGAATGGCTGGATCTCCGGTATCCCCAAGGCGGCAGAGGGCGCTATTTGACACAAACATCTGCTCGGCGCATGTGTCTGGATGGATGTTGTTGATACTTGGCGAGCAATAATTAAATTCAGGGGAGGGGGAGTTTGAAGAGGCTCCAAATGGAGTGTGCACGTGACTGACTATATGGAGATCAGCGGAATATTATTTATCCACTTCCAAAAAAGGAGCATCGGCGCCGAGAATATCGCGTTCCTGGCCCAACGTCATTCTCCAGGTTTCCCTGTTGATCCGTACCACTTCTGTTGTAGGATGAATAGCAACATTTATAAGGAATCCAAGATCCATGGTGGGACAGATGACCCACCGGAATGGAATATGAAACTGGGGAAGATGAACTAACTGGATTTGCTTCAAAATTCACCGTACTAGCAGGCTGCAAGAAAGCAGAAATAGATAGTATTCACGGCGAAATTGCCTATGAACGGAAGAAGTTGGGTTTTTGTGCACGAAGCGAGACTGAATGAAGGGCAGCTTCCAGAGCGGTTGCGGTTGCGGTGATCCACGCCTCAAATCGGGGTCCGTTCTTCTTTTGAGCTCAGGACATACCGTGGCAGCCTCTACACCATTTTACCAAAGCCATTAGTTACGCCCTACCGTCTATAATGTCTCTAAACAGAGTAATTTCCCTTGAATCGTGGGATTACCGCCCCTCCTCATTCCGCCATCGGGAGAGGCCGAACCTAGACCATGGAGACAATGCCTCTGCGGAAGAGAGAGAAGAGAACGATTCCTTTTCCAATGCCAGAACGCGGTTGGCTCAAGTGCGACCTGCCGACTCTCAAAACTCAGTTAGACGAAAGCTAAGTTTTAACCCGGCTGCTGGGCCGCCATGGACTCATGCGACAGTGGATGATGATGGTGACGACGATGACGACAATGATGATGATCAAGATGAAGAATGTCAACGAAGTCTACTATCAATATCAGATGATGACAGCGCTCTTATGCCCAACGACACTGGCTCGGACGGGTCTGACACTTTAGCTGCCTTTGAGATACCAAGATGGAAACGCATTGGTAAGTCAAAGTCATGACGTTATCTACGAGGTGTTTACATTTTTATTTTGTGAATGCCCAGGCCAGTGCTACTCAATTTGTATTAGCACTTTTACTAATATATGGCTGACGAGAATACCAAATTAGCTCAAGTTACCGTAGCAGTATTGAATTGCTTGCTTTCTGCCGGAGTGATATTTGGATATGCTGCGCTCAAGCCGATCCTCGTAGAAGAGGGTGTATATAGAAATCGATGCAGCAAGGAAGAGCTTGACAGAGGGGAATCCCTCTGTTACAACCAGGATCTCAGGTACGTTAACTGCAGTTTTCCACTTGTAGAACGTAGTACTAACTGCCTTTATAGGTTAAACTTCATGTTCACTCTCTCAGCTGTTGCAACCAATATTTCTGCCCTTCCAGTTGGCAGCATACTCGATACTTTTGGCCCACGTTTCAGCGGTAGTATTGGAAGTATCCTCATCGCACTCGGATCGCTTTGTCTTGCTCTCGCCTCTCTATTACCATTCGATACATACGTCGCCGGCTTTTTTCTTTTGGCCCTTGGTGGCCCCTTTGTTTTTATATCCGCCTTCCAGCTCTCCAACACATTCCCCACGCATTCTGGTCTTATTTTGGCAATTCTCACGGGCGCGTTTGACTCGTCGAGCGCCATTTTTCTCCTTTTCCGAATCCTCCATGGCGGATTCTTCACGCTCCGGAACCTATTTCTTATGTATCTTATTGTTCCCGCAGTTATCCTCGCTTCCCAGATTCTTCTTATGCCATCAACTTCGTACAAAACAGCAGGAGAACTTATACAGCAAAAAGAAGACGTTATAGCGGAAAACGCCACTGACGGCCCACCGGAGGGCTCCCTCGTAACCCGGGAACAAGA